TTAACCACTCATTTACAATCGCCTACACAAGTATCTTTCTTCTACTTCTATGACATAAGATGGATTCTTTTATTTGTCATAAATTGTTTCCTAAGGCCTTATTTCAGCCTATTTTTCTCTAATCATATCAATACAACGTACCAAAAAAATCCCCTTTTAACCCTTTTACTGATTTTTGTGATATTGCTTATTTTCCTCTCTGTCTCTTTGCAAATGTGCCTTACAGTGCCTGAAGAATTTGATAGTGTCCTTTACATACTCTTACGAATCGATTATCGAGACGGATGGTCGTTTCTTCTGATGGGTGCACTAGTATTCTCGCTCCTCTGCCCAACCCTTGTGTTTCCATACCTCTACCCCTGCCTTCTCATGCTCTCTCTTTGGCCTTCTTTCTTTCATAACTTTGTTTATAATAGTGTTCTCCGCTTTCGACACGGTTTGACTGCCCTATTAGCCTACATTGCGCCCACCAACACTCTGCAAGATGAAGATGATCCTGCAGCTGTCTTTGCCTAGCAGCCTCTTAAAACACTTTGCTTACTATCAATGGTTTCAGAAGTTGCACCAAAAAAAAGTACTGTTTTTAGTTGCTACAAAAAAATAAATTAAAGTGATTTTATGGTTCACTAAAGTTATTAAAATTTGTTGTATGTGTTAACCTCATTATAGTACTGTATATGTTTTTGGAAAAAATCTTTTTAGTGGTTGTTGATACAATGATTTGTGTTACAGTTGGAAAATAATTACAGTAGCAAATTGGTTATTTTTGGCGGGAAATTCTGTTAGCTAAAAGTTGCTAGCTGTTTTTGTCGTTTTCTATATATATATGTTCTAATTAGGATAGCTATATATATGTGGTACCTTATACGGAACAATCAAGACTATTTTTTTAACCCATGGCCCATGTACTTACACTTACAACTTACACGCTTAATTACAACTTACAAGGTACAAGCACATTGTTAAAGACATAACTTTGATTATACTATCTACAAAGAACCAGTTACACATACAAAATTGTTGCTAAAAAAATGAAGAGGGATACTAATCTTTGTTTTGTTTAGTATTGGGATTGAAACAAGCTACTCGAAAGCGTGTGCTTAATATCCATCAAGTGATCAAGCAATTGTTCTGTTTAAATTTTGTTTAGTATCCGTTTTGAAACAAACTACTCGAAAGGATATCGGTTAAAGAGTTCAATCTCTAATGGAAGACACTTAGAAATTGACGGAGGAGAGGTTTTCATTGTATTTTCCATTATTGTTGCCCAACGAATACAATAGTGAAACTATGGACAGTAGGCAATTGGCGAGATATATTCACCCTCGGTCCCTCGCGAAGTCACGAGGAGGGCTTTTATATATATGCAGAATATATATACTCGTACTATAATTTTTTTTAAAGAAATACAACCAACGTTTGTCCAATATTAAAGAAATGACAATCTCCTCAAAAAAAAAAAAAAAAAAAAAAAAGACAAGAATGTAATAATTTGGAAACCTAATATAAAAAATGATTAAAAAAAAAATATTAATACAAAAGATAAAGATGATAAACGAGCAACTCTAATGGTAAGCTAGCTAATTAGTTTATTATGCCACATAAAATTTTTAGCTAATATTTTTTGTAGCTAGTTTGTGCGTTAGCTAGTAGCTTATGATTTAATTTTTTATCTCTAAAGTTACGTTGTACATTTAATTTCATTAATGTATTAATCTATCTTTTTGGCAAGTTTTTTCTCAAGCATAAGAGCTTAGCTAAGCTATAATTTACTTGAGCAAGTTGATTTAATTTTTTAACACTAATGTTTAAGCTAATAGATAGAATATTTTCTAAATTGCAAATAAGTCCTTACTTATAAACATTGGAGTTGCTCTAGACTCGTACATAGTACTTTGAAAAAAATCCAAAAGAGACTTGCAAGGATACAAGATTGTGAAACTAAAATCATACATGAGTAAATCGTTATTTATCAAAGCGATTTTTTTTAAAGTAAAGTTTCAAAACTATTCTTTATCTTTTTTTTTTTAGAAAATTAATTTGTTTAATAAATTAATTTTTTTTATTTATTTTTCATTAAATTAAACAAGATTACCAAAATTATTGGGCATGTAATGTTGTTCCGAAGTCCATGTACCAAACAGAGCTATCAAAAACTGACCCGACCCAAGAACCGGACCTGAACTGGCAGTGATTTGAACTCAACCTGTACCTGGACAATGGGGTGAAACTAGTGACCAGTAACCCGACCTGAACCTGACCTGATGTTAACCGACAACTGATTTGATCCAATACTTTTTGACCTGAACACGAACCTCTACTACAAACCCTAAAGCCGTCAAAAACTGACCCGACCTGACTATCCGACCTTAACTGACAATGATCTGAACTCAGCCTGTAGTCGAACAATGGGGTGGATTATAGCCTTCAATTTTGCCACTTTTTGCCACCGCGGGCCCCAAAACCTCAAGATTTCCTCAAAAAGCGTGGATTATAGCCTTTAATTTTGTAATCTTTTGACCTTTTTTCGTCCGGAAATAAAAATTAACGAGATTTTTACCATAGTCCCTAATACCCTTTGGGAGTCCAATTGGGTCGGTGGAACCATCCAATATGCCCTTAAACGGTCATTTTATCCGTTCACAACTTGTAGTGATTTCGTAAACTCAAGACTATCACGGACGTTTATGACAACATAGATCATATATGGTTTCAAACGACATTATATGAACCTGAGATGTATCCCTTAGGGCCTCAAGACTTTTCTCCATCGGGCCCCTAAACCTCAAAATTTCCTCAAAAAATGTTGATTATAACCTTCAATTTTGTAATTTTTTAACCTTTTTTCGCTCGGAAATAAAAATTGCCGAGATGTTAATAATGGTCCCTAATACCCTCCGATCGAGAGTCCAATTGGGTCGGTGGAACCATCCAATATGTCATGAAACAGTCATTTTACCCGTTCACAACTTGTAGTGATTTCGTAAACTCAACCCTACCACGTACATGTATGACAACATATAATGATCATACATGGTTTCAAACAACATTATATGACCCCGAGATGTATCCCGTAGGGTATCAAGATTTTTCGCCACCGGGCCTCGAAACCTCAAAAAAGTGGATTATAGCCTTCAATTTTGTTATTTTTTGATCTTTTTTCAACTGAAAAATAAAAATTTCCGACATGTTTACCATGGTCCCTAATACCCTCCGGTCCGGGAGTCTAATTTGGTCAATGGAACCATATAATATGCCCTTAAATGGTCATTTAACCCGTTCACAACTTGTAGTGATTTCGTAAACTCAAGACTACCACGGACGTTTATGACACCATATAATGATTATATTTGGTTTCAAACGTCATTATATGACCCCGAGATGTATCCATTAAAGTTTCAAGGATTTTCGTCACCTGGCCCCAAAAGCTCAAAATTTCCTCAAAAAACGTGGATTATATAGCCTTTAATTTTGTAATTTTTTGACCTTTTTTTTTTGTCCGAAAATAATAATTGGCGAGATGTTTACCATGGTCTCTAATATCCTTCGGGAGTTTAATTGGGTCGATGGAACCGCCTAATATGCCCTTTAACGATCATTTTTCCTGTTCACAACTTGTAGTGATTTCATAAACTCAAGCCTACCACGGACATTTATGACAACATATAATGATCATATATGGTTTCAAATGACATTATATGACCCCGAGATGTATCCCTTAGGGTCTCAAGGCTTTTCGCCACCGATCCCTGAAACCTCAATATTTCATCAAAAAACGTGGATTATATATAGCCTTCAATTTTGTAATTTTTTGACCTTTTTTCGCTCGGAAATAAAAATTGCCGAAATGTTTAACATGGTCCTTAATACCCTCTAGGAGTCCAATTGGGTAGGTGGAACCGTCCATTATGCCCTTAAACGGTCATTTTACCCGTTCACAACTTGCAGTGATTTCGTAAACTCAAGCCTACCACGTACGTTTATGAAAACATAAAATGATTATATATGGTTTCAAACGGCATCATATGACCCCGAGTTATATCCATTAAGGTCTCAAGGCTTTTTGCTACTGGGCCCCGAAAGCTCAAAATTTCATCAAAAAACGTGGATTATAGCCTTCAATTTTGTAATTTTTAATTTTGACCTTTTTTTGGCCCGAAAATAAAAATTGTCGAGATGTTTACCATGATCCCTAATACCCTCCGGAGTTTATTTGGGTTGGTGGAATCACCTAATATGCCCTTAAACGGTCATTTTACCCGTTCACAACTTGTAGTGATTTCGTAAACTCAAGCCTACCACAGACGTTTATGACAACATATAATGATCATATATGGTTTCAAACGACCTTATATGACCCCGAAATGTATCCCTTAGGGTCTCAAGGCTTTTCTCCACCGGGCCCCAAAACTTCAAAATTTCCTCAAAGCATTCAATTTTGTAATTTTTTGACTTTTTTCGTCCAAAAATAAAAATTGCCGAGATGTTTACCATAGTCCCTTATATCCTCCGGGTGTCCAATTGGGTCTGTAGAACCATCCGATATGCCCTTAAACAGTTATTAATCTCGTTAATTTGTTTGGATCTTGATGATGATGTTTTTCTGAATTTCGTTTTAAGTTTGTGTTTCAGAGAAAGGAGGAGCTACAGATGAGAATGAGAATGAGGTGAGGTAGAAAGATTGAGAATGTTCTTGTTAAGGTATATTACTTATAATATATCTTATAGTCAATGTAAATATTCTGTTAGCTTGTTTATAGGAGAGTATATTTTATACTTAGTTTATTCCTAATAAGTAGTTGTTTTAGTGGCTAATGATAAGCCTTATATACCATGTATATATATTCTGTACATTGCAATGGAATAGTTACGGAAAGCAATTCCTTTATGGTATCAGAATGTTAGGGTTTCCTTCCGCTGCAAAACCCTTATGTTCCGCCCTTCCTTCCCCTGTTCTTCTCATCTTCATCTTCTCTTCTCTTCTCTGTTCTTTGGCAGCCATGTCGGAATCAAAATTCCACCCCGCACTGACTGTTAACATCATCAAAGCAATCATTCCCATCACATTCGAGATGGAGAATGACCAATACTCCACATGGGCGGAGCTATTCAAGGTTCATGCTCGTTCTCATAAGGTTCTTCATCACATTATTTCTCCAAAGAAGAAGGTTCCCGCACTTTCAACGGATGAAGAAAAAGAATTATGGTCGACGTTGGATGCGGTCGTACTTGGGTGGATTTATTCCACCATTTCTCATGACCTTTTGTACACTATAATTGAACCTGACTCGACGGCAATGGAGGCTTGGGATCGTTTGAAAGACATATTCCAGGACAATCAAAACTCTCGTGTTGTTACCCTTGAATATGAGTTTTCCAACACTCAAATGGAGGACTTCCCTCAAATGGAGGACTTCCCTAATGCATTGGCGTATTGTCAACGACTTAAGAGCCTCTCTGACCAGCTGAAAAATGTAGGGGCTCCAGTGGACAACAACCGCCTCGTCCTTCAACTTGTTTCCGGTCTCACGGAGGCATAGTCCGGGGTTGCTACCTTAATTAGGCAAAGCAACCCTCTCCCTCAATTCTATCAAGCCCGGTCAATGTTAACATTGGATAAAGCGGGTTTGAACAAACGGGCAGCAACGGTCGCGGCGCCAGCTATGGTGGCAAGTTCACGGGAGGTATATTCGGGTTCTGATGGTTTGGGTCATGCTCGTGGTAAAGGGAAAAATCAGAAGAAAAAAAATGGTGGCAAGAAAAACAACCAGGGCGGTGGTCGTGGTCCCGGCGCTGGTGGTGGTCAGACCTCCGGTGGTGCAGGTGGTGCTAGCTGCGGCGGCAGTGGACAACAACAGCAGCAGTGGTCTGTCGTTCCTCCATGGCAGCAGCAGTACCCCCCTTGGGGTTGGGCTTCACAGTGGGCTATTCCCCCATGTCCCCTTACCCAACCTAAGGGTGGGCTAGACCTCAAGGCCCATTTCGGCAGGGTCGGCAGCAAACTGGGTTACTTGGTCCAAGACCCCAACAAGCGTATGCTACTTCTCACCAATCCAACTCGTATGCTCCAGCGGACATTGAAGCAACTATGCATACTATGACCCTACTGAAGGAGTTATGTCTTCGTCGTGTGCAATTACTAGATATATAAATGGATCAAATTATGGAGATAATTAAGTTTGTAGATTTGGGTCGTCGTTTTACCATAGCTAGAGGCACTAACGATCTTTGGACTAGTAAAATAGCCCAAAGCCCAATTGGATGGATCCTATAAGGTCACACAAAGGGGCTAGATCGAGCATAAGAGGACGAGGCCCATCATGGGCCTCATCACTCTAGGTGGTCATCCATGTAGAGGATTAGAAGTGGTTTTGGGCTATGTGCCCTAGTCTAATTATAATGAGATTATAAATAGACTAGGTGCCTAGGTTTGCAATGAAGAGATGCAATTAATTGATCAGTGTGATCAAACCCTAATTAGCAAACACGAAACCCAACCCCTCTCAAAGTCCTCTCTCTCACGGCTCTCTCCTCCTCCTCGGCGCCGGTGGTGTCTCGTGGTGGTGGTGGTTCGTGCGGTGGTCGGTTGTCCATAAAGGTGGTGATCGCGGTTTTCCTCAATCACTCGACCAATCTAGCATTGGTGGACGGCTCGTTCGAATCTCGTGGACTAAGTAGAGGAGCAACGCTTGGGGCTCTATTCTCTCCCTGATTTTCCTGTCGAATAGCTTCGTGGAATTCACGCGTCAAAGGTATGATTATGTGTCTTGTGTATTTTGCATGCGATTTTGGGATTGGTACTTATTTGAATATGATTCATATTATTTCCGCTGCGTAGTACCTATAAACTTCTACACCTACGGCAGCTCGATCCCTCGTGGTACATGGACACCGGTGCCACTTCACATATGACATCCACCAACGGTAATCTCTCGTATTATTTTAATTTGAGAAATCATCATAATGGAATTATTGTTGGGAGTGGTTATACTATTCTGATTCGTGGTTGTGGTAACACTACTTTGCCATCCCCAAACCCACCTTTGTCCCTATCTAATGTCCTACATGCCCCCAAACTCATTAAGAATCTAATTTCTGTTCGTAAATTTACAACTGATAATTGTGTGTTTGTTGAGATTTACCCTTATGGTTTTTCTGTGAAGGATTATCGGACGGGGATGCCCATAATGAGATGTGATAGCCAAGGGGACCTTTATCCACTCACTACCACCCTCTCAAGCACTTCTCCATTAACATTCACAGCTTTAACTTCTTCTTTTTGGCATGTCCGTTTGGGACATTCGGGATCTTCTATTTTAAAGACTCTTAATAATAATAATCACATTCAATGTACCCACTCTTCTAGTTCTAGTGTTTGTCATTCTTGTGTACTTAGAAAACATGTTAAGTTGCCATTTATTTCTTCTATTTCGAATACTACTGTGCCTTTTGATATTGTTCATAGTGATCTTTGGACATCTCCCGTTTTGAGTTCATCGGGTCATCGTTATTATATACTTATTTTGGATGATTTTTCTAAGTTTTTGTGGACTTACCCTTTAGCTAAGAAATATGATGTGTTTGATAAAGTATTGGCTTTTCAAACTTTAATTAAGACTCAATTTGAATGACCTATTAAAAAATTTCAATGTGATAATGGGAGGGAGTATGATAACGGACCTTTTTTGGATTTGTGTGAATCTAATGGCATGTCTTTTCGTCTTTCATGTCCACATACATCATCACAAAATGGAAAGGACGAGAGAAAAATTAGATCATTGAATAATATAATTTGTACTCTCCTTGCTCATGCTTCGTTGCCCCCTTCTTTTTGGCATCACGCATTACAAATGACAACTTATCTTCATAACATTCTTCCGAGTAAGTTATTAGAGTCTAAGTCTCCTTTAGAAATTCTTTATCAAAGGAAACCGTCTTATTCACACATACGTCTCTTTGGTTGTTTGTGTTACCCCCTATTTCCCTCCACTACTATTAATAAGCTTCAACCTGGATCTACATCTTGTGTTTTTTTGGGGATATCCACCGAATCATAGGGGTTACAAATGTTATGATTTATCGTCTAATAAGATTTTCATAAGCCGACATGTTGTGTTTAATGAGTCTATTTTTCCTTTTGCTAAGTTGCACGCACCCACTAATCACACCTATGATTTTTTGGATGAGGGTATGCACCCTTATGTTATTCAACATATGCAACTTCCTAGTGGACCTACTGCCATGACCCAATTACCGGATCCTTTTTCTCTAAGGATTCTCCCCTCATTTGCACTTGTTTGGCCCTTTTTCTAAGCATTTTTACTTAGTTTTGCTTCCTCTTTTCTTTTCTCCCTTATCTTCCTTTCTCTTAGTCTTCTTGCTTTGTTTTTATTTTGATTTCCATGCTTTGGTTTTGTAGGTATTATGTGCCAAAAGAAAGAGGATATCAAGAAGCCAAGCTAAATGTTGTGCGCGGGGTGCTGTGCGGCTTCTGTGCGAGCGCAACCCTGTCAGAACCCGCACAGCCAGACTGAAGAAACAGAGTCTAACCAGAGAGTTTGCGCGACTTGCTGTGCATCTTCTATGCGGGCGCACACACCTGGTGCGCGGGAGCGCGGGCGCGCAGGCCTACTGTGCGGGCGCGCTTATTTTCCCCGTACCCCCAAAGTTGCGGCCGCGCACTATGCTGAGAGGGTGCACACACCTATTGCGCGGGCGCGCACGACTGGGTTTCTGATTTATTTGCGCCTTGTTGTCCAAGTATCTTTCTTTTGGGGGGAGCCACATATATATAGACGGGACTCTTTGTAATAGAAAACACTTAGTACTAATTCCATAGAACATTAGCCTAATCTAGAGAGAGAAAATAGATTGTTATTCAAGCTTCCTTTATTGTATTCAACTTTGCTCAAGTTTTAATCTTCCATCAATCAAGCAAGTATCCAAGTTTTCATCTTTCTTTAATCCTTTCTTTAGTAATCTCTTTTCCTTTCCTTTAATATTATTTATTTGTTTTATTGTTACTTATTTTTGTCAATCTTATTAGTTTATCTAGTTATTATTGATTTCAATCATGTTTTGTTTTGAATTTCTTGAGTTTATTTCTACTTTTGATATTATGTTTAATCTCCCTTCTCTAGGATAAACTTTTAGCTAGGGGAAGGGGGTGGAAGATATGATTTGATATTGGATGAATGATGATGGTTGGATTGAACTTATGCCATATATTGATGAAAGACATGATTTTTATTAGCTTGGGATTATTGTTGCACTCTATTCGATGTTTTCTAGTTTAAATGCATGAAAGTGATTTGAACTAGATTAGGATCACCTCTATTTTAATGATTGCATGAGAATGAGTTATTAAATTGGAGTTTTTATGGATTGTGCTTCTTTATTCTCTTGATTTGATTGTAACTAATAGGATGCATGAGAATGATCCTTATTAGTGTAGACCTCTTTCATTGATTTGCCTAGACTATTGCATGAGAATGAATTGTTTAGGTGGAACCTTGTGTTCTTTGGCATATGTTTCATGATAATCACCATTATTCTCCTCTTTCTAACCATATTGGCCACCCCCTTATCCCTAACGTCATTTTCTATTGATTTAAATCATCATTTTCTTGCTTACTTGTAGTTCTAGTGTTCTACTCAACAAAACCAACAAAAACAATCCCCTTTTCACTCTTGCATTAGTTATATTTGATGTTGAATTAGCGTGCTTCCCTAGTGGTTCGACCCTTTTACTTGCCACTAACTAGTTTAGTGTAGGTTTAGGTATTATAAATGATTAATTTGGTTAGGGTGGTAGCATAACGACCTATCTATCCGCGATCAGCTTCCCCTCACAGCCCACACCCAGATTCACCCCCCTCACCTGGGCCACGACCCACTTCTCCTCCCACCAGCCCAGACCCACGTACCACACATTCTACCCAACCCCTAAGCACACCAGCTACTGTTGGGCAGAATAGACAACAAGTGGACCGTGGGCCTGTTCAATCAGCCACGACCCACTTGCGGTCTACCCATACAACAAGCCCAGGATCGCCATCTCCTCCCCCTAGCCCACATATTCACATTCCACGACCCCATCCTCCTCTTTCTACTATTGTCACGAGAAGCAAAAATGGTATTAGTAAGCCTAACCCAAAATATAAAAATTTCAATGCTATGGTTTCTACTGTTAAGAAGTCCCCTCTACCTTGTAACCCCATTTCTGTTTTACATGACCCGAATTGGAAATTGGTTATGGATGATGAATTTAATGCTCTTATTAAAAATAAGACGTGGGAGTTGGTGCCTCGTCCACCTGATGGTAATGTTATTCATTCTATGTGGATTTTTACTCATAAGGTGAAATCCGACGGTTCTTTTGAGAGGCATAAAGCCCGTCTTGTAAGTGATGGCAAAAAAACAACATGTTGACATTGATTGTGGGGAGACTTTTATTCCGGTGGTCAAACCGCCTACCATCCGTACCGTGCTTAATTTGGCATTGTCCAAAGCTTGGCACATTCATCAGCTTGATGTTAAG